ACTAATTTGTATCTTGTTGCTGCAAGCGTGTATGCAGTGAGCTGCCTTGTAAAGAATCAAAGTTGTATACGTGTACATGCAGTCAGTAGACTGTGCAAGCACAATCATAGATTAATTCCAACATGTCTGAGACAGATTTTAAGCAGTTAAATTTCAAACTTTCTGTTGACAGGTGTATACATTTTTTAGAAACTCGCATTTGTCAAAAACAAATTGACGTGCAACTGTAAACCAGTATGCATGATCATGATACAAAGTTTGAATAAAATCCATCTCTCAGAACCTTTTGCGGACAGAATTCAGCAAATTTTAGCTCCAAAATGGTCACCAGTCGGCCATATTTGATCAAATTGCATATATTCATCAATATACATTATTTTTATGTTAAGTTTGAACAAGCTTGGTCAAAGCTAGTCTGAGAAATGGCTTAAGACGGACCGAAATTAATAGTCCTCAGATTTCAGACTACACGTACGTCCGAAATGGGGACTAAATACGAAATATTTAAAATTAGTTTATGTATTCACACCCTATTGAGTCAGCAGTCGATATCTGTTCCCTATATAAATCAGTTCAGTATAGAAAGATAGCTGTTTTCAAGAAGTAGTTGAAAATGACATTTTCACAGATGACAGAAATGAGCACTAAAATTAGAGATTTGAAGTTATTATTGCGAAATAAACAAGTCTGATAGAAGTTCATTCAAGGTACCTACATATACAACCTACATATACAATATTAAGGCAATCAGGTGTTTTTCAGTATTCACTAAAGTTTGAGTTCCTGTCATGAAATAAACAAATTTCAACACAAACTATACAAAGCATCAATGTAATTCACAAGCAACTTTCAAAAAAAAGTTGAAAATAACAAAAATATTCACTAAAATTAAACCAAGTTATCATCATGATATGAACATATCTCAAAGTGTCTTCCTGCAAAGTTATGAGAAAATGACAATGATGACAACAACCAATCAGTAACATGAATAGCTCTGATCGACTACATCATGGGGAAGCTAATGAACTC